AAGAGAGGTACGGATGCTCTTGTGTCTGGATCATGCTTATATTGGTATTTTGATGAGATGGTTTTTTAATTGTAATTGAATTGATTATGTTTGTTTTGATTAGGGCTGCACGATTAATCGCATGCGATATTTAACGCGATTTTAATAATTTTATTTAATGTTTTTTTATTACATGTATTAATTATTTTTATATTATTTTCTTTTATTATTTTCTATTATTTTTAATTTAATGTATTAGTTATCTATATCTGTCTGTTTGTTTGTTTTGTTTGGCCTTTTTATATTTTATTTTCCTCACTAGCATTTCTGTTGACATCCACCTAGCAATAAGCAGCAGTGAAAGTTATTTCTGTCTGAGCTAAATATATATAGCTAGGGTGACAGGCTGTTAATAGTGCAGTAGTACGTGCTAATATTGCTCCTCATGAGCTGAAGTGTGTTTGTGGACTGATGATGATGCAGATGTTGTCTCTGTTCCTCCAGACTGGTTCCACCGCCCTCTTCTTTGCTTCACAGCAGGGCCATAATGAAATTGTCAAGCTCCTGTTTGAATTTGGAGCATCCACAGAGTTTCGGACAAAGGTGCGGTATGTTTTAGCCAAAATAAAAGAATCCTATAAATCTGATAATTCAGAACTGACTGGTTTGTGATCTCCAGGATGGCGGCACGGCGCTCTCCGCAGCCTGTCAGTACGGTCACTCCAAAGTGGTGGAGACCCTTCTGAAGAACGGCGCCAATGTCCACGACCAGCTCAATGTTAGTCAACATGTGTTCCTCCCTCTTGCTCTCTAAAAGCCTGATGCATGTTTGTGCCAGTTCCTCTAAGGTTTCTGCTGATTCAGTGTTTAGACTCTGCTCTTAGGAACGGGATAAGACACAGTTTAAATTAAAACATGTCTTTGGGAGACACCAAATATTTTCAAATAATTAGGTGGAAATATTTGTTTAATAATTTGTAATTAATGTAATATGTATTTATTTATTCTAATGCAATATATATTTTTATTTATTTATTTATAATTTAATTTTGATTTAATATAATGTTACTTTAATCTAATATTTATTTGTTTGTTTATGTTTTATTATTTTTACTGTTATTATGTATTCATTTATTTTTAATTTAATGTTTAATTTTGTTTATAATCTTTTAATCTAATCTAATATTTATTTAAATGTATTATTTATTCATTCATTTTATTTTGAATTCAATTTTCTATAGTATTAATTTTATTTATTCATTTATTTTGAATGCATTCTTAATTTTGTATTTAATGTAATGCTATTTTAATCTAATGTGATTTTAAATTTTTTTAATTTTTTATTTAATTAGATGTTTTTCTTACATTTATTAATTTATTTTAGTTTTTTTTAAATATAATATTATTTCAGTCTAATGTAATATTTATTTGGTTGTTTTTTTTTCTGATTTCTATTTTATTTAATTAGGTTTTTATTATATTTATTAATTGATTCACAATTAATATTATATTCATTAATTTATTTTAATTTAATAACAATTTTTAAACTTAATGTAATTTAATGTAATGTTATTTTATGTATGAAAGATCACTTTTTTATATATATATATATATATATTCTCTAAATACCATTTTCATGTCATTTGACCATTACATTTGACCATATCCTCTGTGTTTCAGGATGGTGCAACGGCCTTATTTCTGGCATCCCAAGAGGGTCATGTGACTGTAATACGGCAGCTTTTGTCATCTGGGGCTAAAGTCAATCAACCCCGAGAGGTCTGCTTTATATTCATGGCTTGTGCATTGTAGTTTGGTTTTGGTTAGGAGTGTTTGGTTTGCTGTTATGTATTTTTGTTCTCCATATTGATTCAGTTTTTTTGGGTCAGGATGGCACAGCTCCGCTCTGGATGGCAGCCCAGATGGGACAAAGTGAGGTGGTGAAAGTTCTGCTGCTACGAGGCGCAGACCGTGATGCAGATAGAAAAGTATGTTTACATTTTATTTTATTTTTTTATTTATTTTTTTTTTCAATTTCCAATAGCTTCATATTTTTACCCAGATATTTTATTTTACTTTATTTAATTTTATTATTTTTATGTTTAGTTATTTTAAATGTAATTGTATTTTATTACTGTTTGATTATTTAATTAATTGTTGTTTATTAATTATTTAATTCCAGTTTCTTTTCTTTCTTTTTTTTCTTTTTTATTCTGTTCTGTTCTGTTCCTCATATCTCTTCGTATTCTACCCTGGCTTGAATCAAACTCTTCAGCCAGGTAGAAAAGAAGCTTATTAAAAATGCATGAAATGTTTGACAATTGCCTCATTTATTCTATTATCTCGGTGCGTGATCTCTCATGTTTCTGGCTGAAGGACGGCTCCACGGCTCTGTTCAAGGCTGCACATAAAGGCCACTGTAACGTCATCGAGGAGCTCCTCAAGTTCTCCCCTTCACTCGGCCTTCTGAAGGTACGACCGCATCAACTGACATCCAAAAAGTGGTTCGATTGTGACCGTGTGTGTTTTATCATGCAATCTAGAACGGTTCTACAGCTCTTCATGCTGCTGTCATGGGTGGGGATCCAAAAACAGTTGAACTTTTGCTGAAAGCAAATGCTGATCCAGCTTTACCCAACAAGGTAAATTTGAGACATGGATTATAACATATTAATCCACACCATATATGTGTTTTTTTATATGCATGTATTATTTTGATTTTTTAATTTAATTTTTTTAATGCATTTATTTATTTTTTTTTCTTATTTTATTTATTTAAATTGTTCAAAACAACCCCAATATATAGCAATTACTGATTTGCATCAATAAATTACACAATTATTATTTCATTTATATATATATATATATATATATATATATAAATAGATCTTATTTATTTGTGTAAATTGTGTAAATTGTTATCCACAATATTTTCTCCATTTGAAATATTAATATATTAATTATTATATTTGATTATTATCTTTTATATTTAATTAATTGTTTCATTTTTGTATTTTTTTATTATTATCATTATTATTATTATTATTAAATTATGTTTAAATATTATTTAAATATTATTAAATATACATTTATATAAATTATATATATAAATTGCATTAATATTAATTTACATGGACAACTTGCAAAATGATTTCTTTGTTTAAATTTTTATTTAAATTATTATTTATTTTGTGTGTGTGTGTGTGTGTGTAAATATATATTAGACACACACACACACACACACACAATAATTGTGCAATTTGTCCACGCAAATGACCATAGGAAAGATAATTTTATCATAGGTAAAAAAAAATGTTATAACATTTTTTGTATTGTCTAAAATTTGTAGTTTAAATGTTAAATGTTAAAAAATAGTTGCTTGATGTCCCTGTCAGTGTTTTCTTGTTCATATTTAGCACTGCCATCTACTGGTCAGTGAGCGTTTAGGTATAATGAATGTACTGCAGGCAAATAGCTCAAAATATGATAAATGCTGCAGGAATCTAATTCACTTCACTTCATAGTAGATCATAAAAGCACATGATAATCTGGTGTTTTAATGTCACTTTTGCAGCACGTTCTGATGGTATCACGTTCTCTCTGCAGAACAATGAACTGCCGGAGGATCTGACGAAGAACGAGCGCATCCTGCGAGTCCTGCGTCTGGCCCTGCTGAACGCAGCGAGTTGATGACTGCTGGGTTTGCTCTTAGCTCTCTGCTGTCTTTGTTTTTGAGTTGATGAAAAATGAATGCACTACATCCTCCTGAGAGAGGAGAAATCAGAGCTTTCCTGTCTCATACAGCCGATGTTATAATGGTGCTTGCTTGCAACAACACAAATGCACTGAAAAGCAGAATTGCTTATTCTTCATCTTGGAAATGTTATGATGTAATGTCATTCCCTTTTTTTTTTTTCGTAAGAATTTATTAAATTTGTATATTTTGTAAGAAGCAGCTTATGCTTTTTGTTTAAAAAATTAAATGCTTAAAAAATTGTTTTATAAAATTAATAAAGTATTTTGGTGATATTATTTAAGTAGTGTCTTGTAGCCTGCAAATATATTTGAATTAATAGCATGTTTTCATCAAAAGAGCTCATGAATCAGTGTTTATGCCATACGACTACTAAAAAACAAAGAAAGGAAAACTTCACAACCAAATAAAAAATAGTCACAACACAATTAAAAAAAAGCTCAATTCTTATTCGATAAAAAATGACTCTTGGCTCTTTGATGAGTAGTTGTTCTTGACATATTTATTTTCTGCTTAATGTGGACTTTATTTTCTTTAGAAAAGTTTCAATCTTGGCGCTTACGTGTTCGTTTTCTTAACATTTCATTTAGCATTTTGTCTGTGAATGAAGTGTGTTAAACTGTATATTTGTCAAAACAATAAATGTAACCGAAAATGCTGCTTTTTAAATGTCTTTCATTTAATGAAAGATTAATGAAAATGATTACATGATTTTTAAAATTTGATTTCATTTTATTGCTTGAACAATATTTAATTTGACTTATTTTTAATTATTTATAAACTGTACCTCTTGGCTCGTTCATGTGTTTTTTTCTTGCCATATTTATTTTCCACCGAAATGCATTTTGGACTTTATATTTTCTTCAGTAGCCTAAATATCAAAATCTTGGTTCTTAAATATTTGTTTTTATAACATTTTATCTAGCATTTTGGCTGTGTATGAAGTGTGGTAAACTGTTTATTTTTCAAAACAAGAAATGTAGACGAAAATGCTGCTTTTAACGTATTTTATGAGGGAATTAAATATTTTAAAATATATTTATTTGATTGCTTAAAACGTGAATGAATATTTTATTGTATTCTGTATTTCATTATTATTGTAATTTTAAAAATATTTCACATTTATTTATTTTTTTTATTTTAAACATTACTGTCACCATATTTTACATTATTTGTTTCAGTAAACTCGAAATGTTCCTGTTAAAACAGTGGGCGTGTCCGATGCGCGGGAAAGGTGTGGCTCAGCTCTCGTCACCCGTGACGTCACTGTAAACACTCAACGCGGAAGTGCGGGAGACGCATAGATTTACCGACGCTTCGAGATTCTGCTACACATTCGTTTAAAAAAAATGTATAAATTTGAATTGTTCCAGCAGTAACACATTATAAGTTCACCTTCAACACACCGTCAACAATGACGAATGTCAACTTACAGGTAAGAGACTTTACAAGTGGTATGACTGCCATAATAATGGACCTTTTCATGTATTAAATGTAATATGTGTATTATTTATAATTTGTTGTAATTTTTCTGCTCTATTTAAACGTATGTTTTGACAACATACAGTCTAAAATGTAACTATATTGTTGAGATTTAGAATATATGTATTGTTTAACCGGTAAACATTCATTTGTTCGTTATGTTTAGGTGGCTTGTTTATTTTTTTTGATACATACATAAATGTAAGAAAGTGCTTCTTAACTTATTTGGTACATTGTAAAGTTTTTTAGCTCCTGTATGTATTCCTCAGTCTGTCCTTAAACTGGTCTAACCAGTTATCCGTACATTACACCACACTATAACATAATCTTATACAACACAGATTTCATTTGAATTCCAGATTTGAAACATTTGAACCTGATCAGGTGATCTATATATGGGCGTTTGTGTAACTACAGACAATATTATATTTGATTGTTTTATTTTTGCCTTAGACTTTTTAAATATCACTTGTGTACAGAATCATTTTATTTTATTTCCAGTTATTTTTATTTATGTTATTCCCAAAGTGTGAAATATTGTACAAAATTAAGTTAGACTTGGCAAGAAAAAATGCTGTTTCTTTTTCCTTTTTGAATGTCTCATCTTTCCTTGCGCACAATAGAAAGCCATTGATTTGGCCAGCAGAGCCTCTGAGGAGGACAAGGCCAAAAACTACGAGGAAGCCCTGCGCCTCTATCAGCATGCAATCCAGTATTTTCTTCATGTGGTGAAATGTAAGAAGCCAAAAGCCACTATTTATAAACTTCACTTAGATTTGACATGTAATTTTTAAATATATTTATATTTTATTTTTATGTTTATTTATATTGAAACATTCTATATTTATTTAAAAATGTAAAAAAAAAAAAATATATAATTATAAATCATTAGTGCATCAATATTAAAATATTATTAATAGAATTTAATAAAACATTACTTGTTTTTATATTCACATATTATATACAGTATATATATATATATATATATATATATATATATATATAATATTGTA